GATCCCGGACCCAGCAGGGCGAGGCTGCGGGGGCCGGGCGGCCGCTGCCCTCCAGTCTGGGCGACCGAGTGAGACTCCGACTCGAAGAGCCCCGAAGTGCTCAACGAGCCACCACAGCAGCAGAGCTGAGCACAAGCTCTCACTCCCGGGCAGACCGAACATCCACCCCAGCACCGCCAGAGGCTCTGGCAGCAGCCGGTCACTGCCGGGATGGGGCGCAGGACATCCACAGGGGGCTCGCGCTCAAGCCAGGCCAGACGGGGACCTGCGCGACGGCCACTTGTGTACCTAACCCTGACCTGTAGCCACATCTTTAAAATAAGAATAAAAAATACGGAATTTTTGTAAAAAGTGGCCAGGGGGCGCTGAGCGCACCCGTAGTCCCAGCGACTCGGGCCGTGTCACCAGGATGACCCCAAATCACACACAGTGACTCTCGTGGGCCTGGGTCAGTGGAACACAGATCTTTATTTTGGTGAGGAAAAACCAAAAGGGAACAAGCATTACAAGAGACAAACCAGGAGCGGACATGGGCTGGAGAACATGGAAGATGCGTGCCCAGAGCTCCTGGGGTGCCTCACGGAACCCTGGGTTTCCTCCCAGGGGATTCCCAGGCCCCAGGGGGCTCCTGCGGCCCGCGGGTCCCCCAGAGCCAGGCCTGAGGGCCCACCCTCCCGGTCAGGGTTTCCCCGGCACGGAGGCTGGCTGTGCGGGCAGGATCAGACCGTGGCCTCAGCCTCAGAGGCCTCCTCGTCCTCCTCCAGCAGGCTGTAGGAGGCATGGCTCTGGCAGGGCCGCTGCAGAGGGTGTGCCAACAGTTTCGCCATGCAGTTGTGTAACTCCAGGGCCGGCCCGGCCAGCGCCACCTCATACTTGTAGCTGGTGCCCTTGGTGTCCAGACTGCCCATGAAGGCAAACATATCCTGTGGGCCAGTGAGGGGCTGCTCAGGCAGGGGTTACCCAACAGGCCCGCCCTGTCCCTGGAGGCTGCTCACAGGAGGGGACATCTGGGGTGGGTTCTAAACGGTGAAGAGGAGTTTGCCAAGTGGAAAGCATTCATGCATGCTGCAAACATTCCCTGCCACCCACAGACTGCTGGGGACCCCGAGAGGTCTCGGTCCCAGACCTCTAGGAATTCCCAGTGTGGAGAGACACAGGCAAAGCCCTGGCCCCTACACGCAGGTCTTTCTTGAGGAAAGACTTTCAGTTCGGGCATTATGGTATGAGCAGAAGCTGGGCTTGACTCCCCCGGTGCAAGTGGGGAAACAGAGGCTCAGAGGAGCGGCCCGCTCGAGGTCCTGCGGCTACTTGGGGCTGGGGTGGGATGGGCCGCGGGAGCCTGGGGAGGCCGCGCGCACGGCGGGGCAGAAGCAAGAGAGCAGCGGGGGACGCAGGGTGGAGGCGTGAGGGCAGACCCACTCCCTGACCGTCCTCCCAACGCGCCGCCTCATCAGTCACCACGAGCCCGTGGTGGCTGAATGACCGGACGGCCAGGGCCCAGGGCGACCAAGTGGAGGGAGAGACCCCCGGCCGAGACCCCGCCCCCCCGCCGCTCACCCTCCAGCCCACGTCCTCCTCGTTCTCAGCGGAGCCATTGTGGACGTAGACGACGTCGAAGAAGAAATACGGGCACTGGAACATCTTCTGAGGGGAAGGAGCGCGGCCCTGAGGCGCAGGCTGCCCCCAGCTCCCAGCCCGCCTGACCCTGCAGCCCTGACCCTGGAGCCCGGCGCCAGGGACCCCTCCCAGGCAGGAAGCCCCTCCGGCGTGCAGCCGCCTCCCTCCCTCCCGCCCCACTCACCTTCATGGGCTCCGTCAAGGGGAACTGGGGCTGGCAGGGCGGGCGGCTGTAGACCAGGATGGTGCGGACCACATAGGGCGGTGGGATCGTTTGCACGTTCTCCGTGACTGGCAGCTCCGTCTTCTCTTGACTGCGTGCAGCGGGTGGGGGAGGCAAGGCAGGCATACTGGGGGACACCCGCTGCCACCCAAGGTCACCTCTGCCTCTGAGCCTTCCCACACGCAGTTGCCTCCGCCCCAAGCATCTTGCCAGCCTCGCCCCTCCAGCCTGTCCTGCTCCACTGACCCAGCAGCTGGGGCCTCCTCTGACACCGTGAGCATCCCCCGTTGCTGTCCTGGGATAGACCTGCCCAGTGACACATACATCCCCAGGAGTCTAGGAGCTCCCTAAACAGAGACCAGATCTTACAAGCTAAGTCTGCACCCATCTTCCTACTTGGCCACAGCAGGCTCCTATGAGCAAGGGACACTAGGTAGAAAAAGGGGGTCCTTAATATGTAAAAAGCAAATCTGATCAACAAGAAAAAAAAGCTGACGTTCATCTCCATAAAAACACTCAAAGGCCACAAACAGACAAATCACCGAAGATGTTATGGAGTCAAATCAACAAACGAGGCTGAAAGATCACAGCAAATGAACATGCGGCCTCCTTCCACCCAGCAGAAAAGCAGAGTTTTCACCATGACCAATCCCAGTGTTGAGAGAGACAAACAGAGTTAATTTACTGGGAAAGTGTAGTTTTTATTTTTTGAGTTGGAGTCTCTGTCACCCAGGCTGGAGTGCAGTGGCATGATCATGGTTCACCGCAGCCTCGAGCTCTTGGGTTCAGGTGATCCTTCCACCTCAGCCTCCTGAGTAGCTGGATTTTTTTTTTAAAGCAGGATTTATCGAGAGGACAGAAAAGTGGGAGGGGACCCGAGGGGGCTGCCCAAATTTTTTTTGCTTTTTTATAAAGGTAAGGTCAGGCAGGCTCGGTGGCTCAGCCTGTAATCTTGCACCTTGGGAGGCTGAGGTGAGTGGACTGCCTGAACCCGCGGGTTCAAAACCTGCCTGGGCAACTTAGTGAGACCTCATCTCTACAATAAATAAAAAATGAGCCGGACGTGGTAGCGCGCACCTGTAGTTCCAGCTACTTGGAAGGCTGAGGTGGAAGGATCACCAGAGCCCAGCAGGTCGAGGCTGTGGTGGCCAGGAGTGACTACTGCACTCCAGTCTGGGTGACAGAGTGAGACTCCAACTCAAAAAAATAAATAAATAAAAATAAAAATAGAGATAAGGTCTTGCTATGTTGCCCAGGCTGGTCTCAAACTCCTGGCCTCAAGAGATCCTCCCGAAGTGCTGGGATTATAGGAGTGAGCCACTGCAGCTGGTCACTTTTTACATTTGTAAGTGATTAAAAATATGAAAAGAATTGTATTTCATGCCATGTGGAATCAACATGAAATTCAAAAGTCAGTGTCTATGTATAAAGCTGTACTGGCACGCAGCCACGCCTGTTTTCCCAGAGCAGAATCGCCCTTGACAGAGCCTGTGTGGCCCAAGGGACTGGAAATGCACGCAGCCTCCTGGGGTGAGGGGTGGAGGCCCGAGTGCCACAGGGCCGCCGCAGACAGGTGAGGCTCTGGGAAGCACGCCTCTGGCTAGATGCGCTCCCTGGCTGTGCAGAGAAGGGCCAGAGCAGAGGCTCAGGGCTCCCTAGGCGACTGGGCTGCAGAGCCCGACCCAGAACCCTGCTCTTCCGAGGGGGACTTACATGAGGCTGAGAAGGCCCTCCAGATCTGGGGGATGCTAAGGAAAGGCCGAGGCAGAGTACGTGGAGGCAGGTCGGGGGCTCCCTGCGCCTGACTCAGGAGAGCCCGGCACCCCGGGGACCGCTGTGTGAGGTCCGCCCGTGACTCCCTGCTCTGAGCCACGATCCCCTCAGCATGGATCACAGAACAGGGCGCTGGCATCAATGACCTTGGTGCTTCAACACCGCCCGCGCCCTCAGGTGTCCCTGTCCCTTCCCCCAATACATGCCCCTGTTCTCTTTTTTTTTGAGTTGGAGTCTCACTCTGTCGCCCAGACTGGAGTGCAGGGCCCGCTCCCGGCCACTGCAGTATCGACCTATGGGCTCCGGCGATCCTTCCGGCTCAGCCTTCCGAGTAGCTGGAATTACAGGCATGCGCTACCACACCCGGCTGATTTTTTGTAGAGATGAGGTCTCGCCGCCAGGCGGGTCTCGAACCCACGGGCTCAGGCAATCCACTCACCTCAGCCTCCCAAAGCGTGGGATTACAGGCTGAGCCACCAAGCCGGGCTCCTGTTCTCTTTCTTAGCCCACAGTGGTGGTATTCTATTGAAGCTTTGAGCCACACACGAGTCTTTAATTTTCAAATGAGCATACAATGTGCCGGGTCAGATTCATGGGGCTGAAGGACCGATGGTGCCTCTTCCATCACACGCTGCCACTTATCAAGCGCCTACAATATACCCAGCCCTGGGGGAAGTGTTCCCCGTGTTGGTGCACTTTGGACACCCCCATTCCACTCAGCTGCTTTTGTATTCCTTCTCGACACAGAGGCAATACGGGGCAGGCGGCTTTATGCCTCTCATGGTACAGAGGGGGGAACTGAGGCTCAGAGGGTGACCAGCCCAAGTCTGCCATGGCAGAGCTGGGATCAAGCCGGAGCCAGCCCTCTCCCTGCCCAGGCTTCCAGGCCGAGGGTGGCAGCAAGGGTGCCCTCCAGCCCCCGAAGGATACTGAACGCAGAGCAGGAGGCCGTCTCCAGGTCATACAGGCAGCTGCAGAGCTCGCGCGGGTCAGAGGTCAGGCCGGATAGCTGCCGAGAAACACAGGTCTCAGAGTGTGCTCCTGGCCCCAACCCAACCCCGCATCCAGGCCTGCACTGCCTTACCCAGGCCGTGTCATCATTGACCACCACCAGCGCGAACTCATGGCCTTTGTCGATTTTGTGCTTGGTGCGCACGAACATCTCAATCATCTTCTGGGAGACGTTTAGCGCGTTGGTCTTGGAGCTGCAAAGGGACAGGGTGCAGGGCTAGGGTCCTTCACCTGCCCACCCCTGGGTGCAGGTCAGGCCGCAGTGCACAAAGCCCGGCAGCCTGCAGCCCTCTGACCTCTCCAGACAGGTCCCCATGGAGACCCCGGGAAGTCACTCTGCTGCTGCGCCGCAGTGCCCTGAGGGACAGAGGCCTTGGCACTGGCAGCAGCAGAGCGCCCAGGTACACCCAAGTCCTGCTGCCTGACCCAGAGGTGCAGCTGCAGGTGGCACACAACTCCCATCAAGGGCAAGGGGCCTGCCAGGCTGGGGTCTGATCCTGGCCCTGCCCGAGTGCAGGAGTCCTGGGACAAGCCACCCTGCTCCGGCTCTCCAAGGCACTGCGGTGAAGGAGCCGCAAGGGCCATGGTGTAGCTGTCCCGGCCACTCTCTTTGATTTTTGCTTTTAAAGTCACGAGTCTCATGCCGGGCTCGGTGGCTCAGCCTATAATCCCACGCCTTTGGGAGGCTGAGGTGAGTGGACTGCCTGAGCCTCCGGGTTCGAGACCCGCCTGGGCAACTTGGCGAGACTGCATCTCTACAATAAATCAAAAAATCAGCCGGGCGTGGTAGCGCATGCCTGTAATTCTGGCTACTCGGAAGGCTGAGGCGGAAGGATCGCCGGAGCCCAGCAGGTCGAGGCTGCGGTGGCCGGGAGCGGCCACTGCACTCCAGTCTGGGCGACAGAGTGAGACTCCAATGCAAATAAATAAATAAAATAAAGTCATGAGTCTCGCTCAGTTGCCTGGGCGAAAGTGCAGTGGCTGACTATGGCTCTCTGCAGCCTCGACTTCCTGGACTCAGGAAATCCTCCCTGCTCAGCCTCCTGAGTAGCTGGGATTGATTACTGGCACCATCATGCCCAGTCAATTATTTTTTGTGAAGACCGGCTCTTGCTAGGTTGCCCAGGCTGGTCTCAAGCTCCTGGAAGTGCAGGCGTGAGCTACCACACCCAGTTCTCACTATTATCTGAGACCTGCAGGCCTGAGGAGGTCAGACCAGACCAGATCTGGCTGGTGTGAGTTTCAAAGGGAGGGCCTATATCTCTTGGGCTGGCCCTTCCCAGCCATGGCCACGTGTTCAAGCCCCACAGGGACCCTCTTACCCGTTGAACGACTCCAACTTTGGCAGTGACATTTCTTCTGACAGGTCCAGGCAGATGATCTGCAGGGAAATTGGAGGGAGGCGAAGGGTGCTCTGACCTAGTGCCAACCCCCATCCACTGGCCCTCTCAGTCAGCCCTGCCTAAAAAGGCAGCATGTGACCCCCAATTCCCAGCCAGGCCATTCACGTTGGAAGGCAGTGAATGGCCCTGGGGAAAGAAGAAAAGAGCACTGGACTTGCCATCCAGGTTTTCTATTTACTTGTTGCTTTTCACTGGAGTCCAGGTTGATGTGCAAATAAGTGAACCAGAGAAGGGTGCACACAGAAACACGGGAAGGAGGATACAGCAGGTTGAACTGTGGCTTCCAAAACACATGCCCACCAGGACCTCAGAACGTGACCTTATTTGGAGTTAGAGCCTTTGCAGATGGACAGAGTGAGAGTCTTGAGATAAGGTCAACCAGAATCAATGACACGTATCCTTCTGGGAGATGGAAGCGGAGAAGACACAGACAGGCAGGAGAGCCTTACGAGGACTTGCCAGGGCTGGAGTGATACGGCCACAGTGAAGGGCACAGGGGCCCCAGGAGCTGGGGGAGACAGGAGGATCCTCCCTTGCAGCCTCCGGAACGCGCATGGTCCTCAGACCTGGATTTCAGACTTCTGGCCTCCAAAACTGAGAGAAGTGCTCCTGGTATTGTGAGCCCCTCATCAGCGCTAGCCTGGGGCAGCCCCGAAAATGAGAACAGGGAAGGTCTGCAGAGGGAATCCCAGAAGCCAAGGACACCTAACTCATAGGTCCCCAGCAATTCAGAGTCCCAGGCCAAACCCCACTCACCACTTTCTCTGGACAGTTGACCCTCGGTGTCCGGACCTGGACCTCAGGAGCAGGCGGGGGCACTTGCCAGGGCTTGGGGCCAACTCCTGCAGGGTTGGGGCTGCCATCGGCACCAGCTGCCTCACCCTCACCCTCACTGCGGCTGCCCACGGTGGCCTGCGTCCCCAGCGCCCGGTCCTCGGCTCCCTCGGGATTGGAGCGCGTGCGGGGCCGTGGCTCTGCCGATTGTTCTTCTTCCTCCTCCTCTTCCTCCTCCTCGGTGGGGCTGCTGGGCTCTGGCACTTCCATGGCTATGTGGCTGGATGCAGCAGGGACAGGGCAGCTGATATCCTCCAATTGGGGTTTTGAAAACGTGGTTACTAAGAAGGAAGACAGCTCATAAGCCATTGACTGACTACAGGAATCACTCCTCTCAGGGGCTCAGTTTTCTCTGCTGCAGAGCATCCACTTTAATGTCTCACATAACAGTCTCTCTTTTTTTTTTTAAGAGTCGAGGTCTTGCTATGCTGCCCAAGCTGGCTCTTGTACTCCTGGGCTCAAGCAATCCTCCCCTCTCAGCTTCCCAAGTGCTGGCATGAGCCATTGAGCTTGGCCAAATCTCCCATTTTTATCTGTAGAGCTAGCCTCCTCCCGCCCCCAGCTTCCACCCCTCTCCCACCCACCAGGAATGGCTCAGAGACGCACACGTGACCCAAAACAGGCCAGAGGCAGATCTGGGCCTTCCTACGGTGCCATTAGGGAAAAGATGTGCGGTAGGACTATAGAGCTGGGAGAAGATAGAAGCTGAGAGCTGCCAGGAGCACCTTTTGTCTCTAAGAAGGGAAAGAGGCCCAGTGTGGTAGCTCAAGCTTGAAATTTCGGCACTTTGGGAGGCCAAGGCAGGAAGACAGCTTGAGGCCAGGAGTTTAAGATCAGCCTAGGCAACATACTGAGACTTCATCTCTACAAAAAAAGAAAGTTAGCCAGGCACAGTGGCACCTGTAATCCCAGCTACTCAGGAGGTCGAAGCAGGAGGATCGTTTGAGCCCAGGATATCTAGGCTTTGGTGAGATGTGCTCATGCCACTGCACTCCAGCCTGGAGATACAGCGAGACCTCGTGTCTTTTTTTTGTCCCACCTCCCCGGCCCAGACCCCGAGTCTTAAGAAAAAGAAAAGGCCAGGTGCTGTAACTCACGCCTGTCATCCCAGCACTTTGGGAGGCAGAGGCGAGTGGATCGCCTGAGTCCAGGGATTCGAGACCAGCCTGGGGAACGTGGCTAGACCTCGCCTCTACAATAAATCAAAAAAAGTAGCCGGACGTGGTGGCACGCGCCTGTGGTTCCAGCTACTTGGGAGGCTGAGGCAGAAGGATCGTCGGAGCCCAGAAGGTCGAGGCTGCGGTGGCCCCTGCACTCCAGCGACAGTGAGACTCCGACTCAAAAAATAAAAAGAAAAGAGTAAAGTCAGGAGAGGAAGAGGCCTGCCTGGAGCGATGCCCGCCCAGAAAACAGCAGGTCGACCCTGGCCACGACACGCGCCTCGCCGGGATCCGGCCGTAAGCCGCGAATCCCCAGTGTTTAAGCCTGAACCTGACGATGGCGGAGCGGATGAGGGAACCTCCCCTGGGGCTCCCAGCGGAGGGCACGGGCCGGGAGGGGCAGGCGCCTGGAGAGAAGCAGGACACCCGGGGACAGGACGCCCGTCGGGGCCCTGAGCGCGGGCTGCCCAGGACGTGCCCCGCGGCCCCGCCACCTCCAAGGGAGCCCAGCTTTGGCGGCAGCAGGAGGGATGGCGGTCAGATCGCAGGCGACGCCGGGGACGAGGGCGGAAGCCCCAGGAAGGCGAGGCAGCCCTCCGGGGCCAGACACGCTGGGCCTCCCGGGACAGGACCCACACACCAACACCCCGGAATCCTGCTCACCGCAGCCCGCACCTCCCTCCAGGTCAACCGCCGGAGGGACCGGAAGCCGCCATCTTCGCAACAGGAAGTTGTGAGGCGCGGCCCCGGCGCCTCCTGGGAAATGTGGTTTCGTGCGCGCTGGCGAGGACTCGGAAGCTGATTGGCTGCATCTGTGCTGGTGCGTGCGTGAAGCGGGGCGGGAGGAAGATGGCCTAGCTCGCAAGGCGATACGTTGCGTGGGCCGAGGTGGGCGGGGTCTAGGGGAAGGGGCGGGGCCGAGCGGCGAGGGCGGAGGGCCGGGACCTCAGAGCCGGAGTTTTCCGGACGGAGCGGCGGGGGGCGTGGGCCGCCAGACGCTTCCCAGTTACTTACTTCGGCGCCTTTTTGCATGCATTTGCATAAGTAAAGCATACTACGCCTAGGCTGGCGTGTGCAGCCGGGGAAATCGGCGCAACTGCCGACTCCACCGGCTGGGCTCCAGCGACCCTCCCGCCGGGGCCTCCCGAGTTGCCGGGACTGCAGGAGCCACCGCGCCCGACTGAGCCTGAGCCCTTTCTTCATGCGCACGTCCCCTCTTAGTTCCGGGACCGTTTCCAAGCCTCCCTGAGCTTCGGCTCATTTGTGCAGGGTCAGCTGAGCCTGCCACAGCAGCTGGGCTCTCATCGAGGACAGCCTGGAGAGCTGTGCACGCTGACCCTGGAAGGATGAGGAAGTCGCTAGAAAAGCCAGAGAGGCGGCGGGGCGCGGTGGCTCAAGCCTGTAATCCCAGCACTTTGGGAGGCAGAGGTAAGAGGATTGCCTGAGCTCAGGGGTCCGAGACCAGCCTGAGCGACATGGCAAGACCTCGTCTCTGTAATACATCAAAAAGTTAGCCGGGCAGGGTGGCACTTGCCTGTGGTTCCAGCTACCTGGAAGGCTGAGGCAGAAGGATCACCTGAGCCCAACGGGTCAAGGCTGCGGTGGCTGTCAGCAGTGTGCCCCTGCACTCCAGCCTGGCTAACAGAGTGAGACTCCAAATCAAAAAAAGGAGAGAAAGAAAGTAAAACAAGAGAAGAGAAGGCATTCCGAACAGAAGGAACAGCCTGGGCAAAGGCCTGGAGGGTTGGAAGAGCCCTAGGAGGGCGCGGAGCCTCTCACTGGGTAGCATGCCTGGAGCAGGGGAGTGAGGAGTTCGGTTCCCCTGTAGACCCCAGGTCAGAGAATGGCAGCACCTCTCCCCACCACCGTTTTTCCCTGGAGGACACTGAGGCAGGAAGAGTGAAACTCCAGGCTTTGCACAATTTAAACTAAGTAGAGAAGGAAGGAAAGGGTATCTCAGGCAGAGGTTACAGTATGGCCAAAGATCCCGGAGCACAGAATTGAGAACCCGACTCTGTTCACAAAGGAGGTCATCATGGCCGGGGCATTGGAGTAAGTCTAGGTAGCCTTGAATACAGAGGAGCTGCAGGCATCTACTGAGGACAACAGGGAGCCATGCAGGGTGAGATGTAGACACCATCAGAGGTAGATTCATGAGCAGGCTGTGAGAACCAGCTAGGCTCTAGGGAATGCTTTCGCAGAGGAGAAACAGGAGCTGGCAGAGGAAGAAGAGATGGAATGGACGGAGAGGTAGCAGGGAACAAGGAGGGCATGTCACAGTCGGTTCCCTGATGGGACCCAGATATGTACAGATTCCTTGCTGAAACCTCCTTGATATTGTGAGGAACGTGCTATCATTACTCACTTTATTATTATTTTTCAGGCTTTTTTTTCTGAGTCAGAGTCTCTCTCTGCTGCCCAGGCTGGAGTGCAGGGACATGTTCATAGCCACTGCAGCCTTGACCTGCTGGGCTCAGGCGATCCTTTCACCTCAGCCTTCCAAGTAGTTGAAATTACAGGCACGCGCCACCATGACCAGCTAATTTTTTGAGTTTTGGTAGAGACAAGGTCTCACCAAGTTGCCCAAGCAGTCCTCTCACCTCCGCCTCCCAAAGTGCTGAGGTCACAGGCGTGAACCACCAACGACCAGCTTCAGTCGTCTGTTTTATTTTGTTTTTAGAGACAGGGTCTTACGCTGTCACCCAAGGTGTAGAGCTATGATGTGATCATAGCTCACTGCAGCCTGAACCTCCTGAGCTCACGCCATCCTTCCAAGTAGCGGAAACTACAGCCACCAAGCCCAGCTAATCGAATATATTTTTGTAGAGATGGGGTAATGCTATGTTGCCCAGGCTGGTTTCAAACTCCTCAGCTCAAGCAGCCCTCCTGTCTCAGCCTCCCAAAGTGCTGGGTAAGAGCCACACACTATGCCATGACCCTCATTTTAGAGATAAGGAAACTGAGGCAGGGGGGGACATTGCTTGCTCAGGGTTACTGAACCCAGATCTGTCTGTGACCGAGGCGAATGAGGACCCTGACCCCACAGTGAAGGGACAGGGAACCAGAGGAGAAACGCAGGCCCAGGGGAACATTCTGGCTCTTGGGAAATCAGCGGCAAGGTTTGGAAGTGAGGGAGCTGCCGGCCTGGAGGCTGATGTGAGGAGGGGTTGCCACCTCAGGAGCTGAATACATGTCCCCTGTGGCCTGGAGGAAGCGAAGGCCTCGAGAAGGAAACGGCACAATAAGTCACGTGACCAAGGCAGGAGGCTTCCTGCTTTCCGGCCCCTCCCAGGCCTGCCTTGACCAGTCCAGGCCTGAGCGGGCAGGGGCCAGAGCGACCCCAAGGGTGTCCAGAGACTCAGGCCTCTGACCAAGGTGCCCCCAGAGGGACAGAGAAGTACAGGAGCTGAACCCCAGGATTGAGGCCTGTTACTTAGGAGGACCCGTGGGAGGAAAGGTGGCTCCTGGCATCCCTGTCCCGGGCCCGGAGAGCTGAGGGAGGGAAGCACAGAGGTCAAGAGAGTAAGGGGGACAGAGGAGAAGGGGAGGCCAGGGCAACCTTGGGGAGGTAGCGAGCTGCCTGTCCAGGGAGGCATTCTGGTGTGCCAAATCAGCACTAATAACTCAAGATCCCTTCCAGGGGGATTCAAGGCCCCATTTCACAGACGGGGAAACGGAGGCTGTCGTTGGCCCAGGACCATGCAGCTGAGAGCCGAGACAGGCTGTGGTTTTAGAGGGTGAGGAGGAGCGTCCAGACAGCCCTGGTTTCTGGATGGCCATGAGTGCCCGGGCCACGCGGCCCCGAAGCCGGCGAGGGAGGCATGCTGCACCTGTAAGTGTCCCCGCGCCCCGCTCCCAGGGACCCTACGTCCCGCCCTGCCTGGCTTAGAGCTGGGCCCCGGGGGTCATTTGCAGGGCGAGCTGGACCCTGTGGCTGAGAGTTCAGAGGAGGCCGAGGCAGCCGGCGGGAGTGCCAGGTCCAGCCCCATGCCACCTCCGGAGAACTCTGGGCCGGAGCCCCTGGGCCTCGTGGTGCAGGTCAGGGGCCAAGGCCGAGGGAGCAGGTAAGACCCGCTCTGTCTGTATCCTCCACTCCCGCACAGGCATGTCTTTGCCCCCCGCAGAGCTGCTGATGTCCCTCCCCTGCTCACCCACCTGCCGTGGCTCCCTAGAGCCCTTGTCAGCCTGAGGTCCAAGGCCCGTCGTCACACATCCCTGGCCTTGGCACACAGCCCCTGTGTGCCAGCCACCCCTGAGGACCCCATTTCCAGAATCTCCGTCTCTCACCTCCAGGACTTCACCTGGGCTGTGCCCTCTGCCAGCTGCCCTCCTCTGCTGCAAACATGCCAAGGCAATCTCACTCTGCGTTCCCAGCCCAGGCCTTGCCCCGCCCCCAGGCCACTGTCCAGCCCCCGCCCTAGCCCCCCAGCCTCTCAGCATCACCCTGGGACGCCAGCCCCAGAACACGCAGCTCTCAGCAGCTCCCCAGCATGCAGTTGAAGGACCCTGAGGACCCCAGAGTCCCCCGCCTGGCATGGGCTGGCTCAAGTTTCTGTGCTGGTGTCCACAGGACCAGCACGGAGACAGATGCGGACTCCAGCAGGGGGGCTGCCTCGGCCCCTGAGGGGCCCCCCAAGCCTGCAGTGGAGGCCTGCCAAGCTCTGGATGTAGCCCTACAGGACAGGGAGCCTGGCCTCTCCGGGACCGGGGCTTCAGACGTGTTCCGGGCGCTCCAGTGTGCTCTGAGCTCCCTGGAGGCCACCGCTGCTGCCTGGCGCCACCGGCCCGAGGGTCATCTTGGGCCAGTGGGGGTGGAGGGCCCCAGCGAGCAGGGACCCGGGCCCCTCAGGAAGCAGGAGTGGGCCAGCGGCTGCCCGCGAGAGGCAGCCCGCCTGGCTGAGAGGAACGCGTGGCTCCGGCTGGCCCTGAGCAGTCGTGAGGAGGAGCTGGTCCGCACACGAGCGTCGCTGCAGGCTGTCCGGGTGGAGCAGGAGGCGCTGAAGAGGGAGGTGAGCAGGAGTGAGCCCAGGGCTCCTGTGGAGGGAGGAGGCAGGCCCAGCACAGCCAACACTTATCCCTTGGTTTGCTCAAAAAACTTTTTCCGAGTTGGAGTCTCACTGTGTCGCCCACACTGGAGGACAGTGGCCGCTCCCGGCCACCGCAGCCTCGACCTGCCAGGCTATGGCGATCCTTCCGCCTCAGCCTTCCGAGTAGCTGGAACGACAGGCACGCGCTGCCATGCCCGGCTCATCTTGATTTATTGTAGAGATGAGGTCTCGCCAAGTAGCCCAGGCGAGTCTCGAACCCGCGGACTCAGGCCATCCACTCACCTCAGCCTCCCAACGCGCGAGATTACAGGCCGAGCCACCGAGCCCGCCTTCAAAAAACCTTTTGAAGCTGGGCACGGAGACTTGCTCCTGTGATCCCAGTGCTTTGGGAGGCCGGGAACTTGAGGCCAACCTGGAAAACATAGCGAGACTCTGTGTCTGTAAATAAAAACAAATAAATTAGCAGGGCACGATGGCACCTGTATTCTCCGCTACTCAGGAGGCTGAGGTGGGAGGATCGCTTGAGCCTGTAAGTGGGAAGTGCAGGGGCAACAGAGTGAGACCCTGACTCTAAAACAAAATAAAATAAGGTTGGGTGTGGTGGTTCAGCCTGCAGTCCCAGCACTTTGGGAGGTGAGGCAGGTGGATCGCTTGAGGCCAGGAGTTTGAGAACAGCCTGGACAACATAGCAAGACCTTGTCTCTACAAAATAAAATAAAAATTATTTTAAAAATAGCCGGGCAACAGAGTGAGACTCCAACTCAAAAAAAAAAAAAAAATAGCCAGGCACGGGCTGGCCATGGGGGCTCATGTCTATAATCCCAGCACTTTGGGAGGCCAAGGTGAGAGGGTTGCCTGAGCCCATGGGTTCGAGACCAGCCTGAACAACTTGGCAAGACCTCATCTCTACAATAAATAAAATAAAATAAAATAAAATAAAATAAAATAAAATAAAATAAATAGCCAGGTGTGTTGCTATGTGCCTGTACTTCCAGCTACTAGGAAGGCTGAGGCAGAAGGATGGCCTGAGCCCAGCAGATAGAGGCTGCAGTGGCTGTGAGAGTGCCACTGCACTCCAGCCTGGGTGACAGAGTGAGACTCCAACTCAAAATAAATAAATTCAGCTGGGCTCGGTGGCTCAGCCTGTCATCCCACGCCTTTGGGAGGCTGAGGTGAGTGAATTGCCTGAGCCCGCGGGTTCGAGACCCGCCTGGGCAACTTGGTGAGACCTCATCTACAATAAATCAAAAATCAGCCGGGCGTGGTAGCGCGTGCATGTAATTCCGGCTACTCGGAAGGCTGAGGCGGAAGGATCGCCAGAGCCCGGCAGGTCGAGGCTGCGGTGGCCAGGAGTGGTCGCTGCCCTCCAGTCTGGGCGACGGAGTGAGACTCCGACTCAAAAAAAAAAATTAATTCTTTCATTCATTCACTCATTCAAAAATATATATACAAAACATAAAGCCCTGTGACTGAGAGAAATACCATGAGGGAAAGCCTCATCTTGGGCTGGTAGAGAGACCTGGGGCCCCGGGACCCCCACGGGCACGGGGTTCACGTCCCTCCACATGGAGCCTATTTCCCCACTGGGAAGGTAAGTCCCCAGCAGTGGAGAGACGTGCCCAGGGTCCTAGAGAGAGAGCTTTGGCAGAGTGAGTAGCCAGGGCTCCCGCCTTCCAGCTGGAACTGTCCTTGGGAGGGCCTGGTGGGTGGCTGGAGTCCCCAGGCCTGACACCCCACCTTATCTGCACAGGTTCGAGAGCTGCAGGAGTCACTGCCAAGGCCGGAGCTCTTCCCACGCCCCGCCCACAGCCAGATGGGTGGCTCGGGCAGTGGTTCCAGCAGCTCTGGGGTAAACGCAGAGCCCTGGGAGCCTCAGGTGAGTGTGAGGCACTCATGCCTATGGTCCTGATGTCTTTTGCATTCAAAGCAGTGGCACTCAAATTCTGGTTATGGGGGCTGGATTTGGTGGCTCACATATGCATCCCCCCACTTTGGGAGGCCAGGGTGGGAGGACTACTTGAGGCCAGGAGTTCAAGACCAGCTGGGCAACATAGTGTAACCTGTCTGAAATAAAATAAAGAATTTAAAAAATTCTGGTCATGCGATTGCATTGCTTCTGGGCTTGGAAACGCCCTGAACTTACCATCCTGAGGTCTTGGTGATAGCTGGGTGAATGGCGCCACCTCTTCCTGGCAGGAATCCTTTTCCCTGGCACACCCCCTGCTTCGGCACCTCCAAAGCGACTCCAGCACCCAGATCCTCGGGTCTCTGCCCACTCAGCCCCTCACCCCTGAGATGCGTTCCATGGAAGCCCAGACGGAGCAGCGCCGAGGGTAAGGGCTTCAAATGCTGAGCTCGGAAGGCCACCGAATCCCTGAGCCTGGAGGCGGAACAGGAGGAGGAGGAGGGTGGAAGTCAAGCCCCGACTGTCCTGGCAGCTTCTCACTTCCCATCTTCCCCACCTTCGGAGGCAGGCGCATTGAGAAGCTCAAATGCTTCAACCGCCTGCTGCTGGCCGTGCTCCAGGGATACAAGGGCCGCTGTGAGGGCCTCAGCATGCAACTGGGCCAGCGGGAGGCTGAGGCCACAGCCCTGCGTCTGGCCTTGCAATACAGGTCAGTGTGCCTGTCAGTGAGGCCACCAGCGTGGGAGGGAATGGGGTCTCCGAGGGTGGCCCCTGCCACCGGTGGAGACATGAAGCCCACTGGAGAACACCTTCCCCCACCATGGAAGTTAATTTAAATCACTTTTAGTGCAGGATTCTGGGGAAATCTGCATGTCTCCAAGGGTGAGGGCAGGGAGCGAATGGGGTTCAGGAGCAAGTGGGGACTGGCACCCACACAGCGAGGTGGGCTTGGTGTCCTGGAACACTCAGAACCCGTGTCCAAAAACAAGAAAGAAAAGAAACACAGCCGGGCTCGGGGGCTCAGCCTGCAATCCTGCGCTTTGGGAGGCTGAGGTGAGTGAATTGCCTGAGCCCGCGGGTTCGAGACCCGCCTGGGCAACTTGGCGAGACCTCATCTCCACAATAAATCAAAAATCACGCTACCGGGCGCGGTAGTGCGTGCCTGTAATTCCGGCTACTCAGAAGGCAGAGGCGGAAGGACCACTGGAGCCCAGCAGGTCGAGGCTGCGGTGGCCGGGAGCGGCCACTGCACTCCAGTCTGGGCGACAGAGTGAGACTCCAACTCAAAAAAAAAAGAAAGAAAAGAAACAAACAAAAAGTCAGGCATAGTGGCCCATGCCTGTAATGCCAGCACTTTGGGAGGTTGAGAAGGGAGGATTGCTTAAGGCCAGGCATTTGAGACCAGCCTGGACAGCACAGCAAGACCCCACCTCTACAAAAAGAAATACACACATAAAAAAGAAAACGAAAACAAAGAACCAATGTCCTACAGTGAGCGCGCTGAGGAAGTGCATGGGGCCCTGCTGGCTCTGCAGGAGGCTGGCTCAGGAGTGGGGCCCCAAGCCCCCATGGGTGACCACCTGCAGGCAGCTGAGCAGGAGGCATGGAGGCTGCTGGCCCAAGAGGAGGCTGCCGCGGATGAAGGGGCACTGCAGGATCCACAGCCAAGGTCCCCTGGGAGCCCTGGGACCTGCACCGCTGGGTGAGTAGGATGCAGACTGGGCGTGGGGTTCCGGCACTGGCCATGTGTTGGAGTTCGGCACAGCTGTGCCCAGCAAGGTTAGTGTGGAGCTCCCTCACTGCTGACATGAGGCCTGACTGCAGCTGGCCTGCCGCGACTGGACAAGGTTGGCATAGAGGCTGACAGACTTGGAGCCAGCATGGGCCCCCTCACCTTTGGCATGAAGAGAGAGGCGGTACCCACGGATTAGAACCATGTTATAAGGCCCTTGCCTTGCTAAGCTGTGGTGTGGCCATGTGCTCTCTGAGCTGTGGCTGGGTCGTTTCCTGGCTTGGGTCCCCTCTCCTACCTACCTTGGGGAGGTGAATCTCCTCTTTCTCTCTAATTTACTTTGTAACTAAACTCTATTTTCTTTTTTTTTTTTTTTGAGTCAGAGTCTCACTCTGTCGCCCAGACTGCAGTGCAGGGGCCGCTCC